GCTCGATGGGCTGATATACTCTGATTTTCATCTCTTCAGCGAAGCGTTCACACCGCTGGATCCTGAGTGAGAAGCTGCGCCGTCGAAACAGCTTTCTGCGGGACGAGCCTCTGCAACTGAAGTCGCTGGCCTTCACCTCGCCGCCTTCAGCCGCCGTTCCTGCTACGCTATCCGGCGTACTATATATCCTTTACTCTGCTCTGTATGTGTGCGTGTGTGTGTGTTCGCCCCGCGACTCACGCGTCTATCATCTAAAAGAGCCGCGTCTTTTTAAAGATGCCATCCTCCTGTGGCTCGTGCCGAGCTCCACTCAGCGACGGGGACCGCCATGTGATGTGCGTTTCCCGCCTGGGAGAGGATCGTGCAGCTCTCGCGCTCGCCGACGGCGGGTGCCCTCACTGCGAGCTATTGCCTATGGTGACTCCGAGGACTCGCCTGGCATACTTCAGCGAGACTGCACTTCCACCCGCTACAGTGCCGCGCCGTAAAGGCGCCATACTCAGCGGGTCCCCGAGCCTTCTCCTGCCCGTGAAAGCTCGCCGGTTCGCCCGCCAGCTTCACCGGCTTGACTCGAATCGCTCACTGACGGATAACGGCCGCCGCGCGCCACCGCTTCCGCCATTAATGACGACGAGATAGCTGCATCTGTAAAGAAGGCCAGCTGCTCTATCCTGGCGTCGGACAGTGAGGATTGGGCGAGCTCTGTGGACCTCCCCTCCTTCTGTCCGCGAGTCGTCAGGGAAACGGGCCAACATCAAGACCGCGGCTAGCTTTCTTTACGTTATAAGAAAGCTACCCCGCCCTCGCCCCCCATGGGCGTGCGTCATCGGCAAAATGAGGAAAGAGTGTGTTTTAGTCCCGCCGAGGCCGGACTAATCTCCATTTCTCAAACAATTCTCAGCTCCTCTTAGTTTGAGCGGCTGTAAATTTCAATATTGCAGCAACGAGCCTGTTGTATAACACGCACGCCTGCATTATCTGAGGAGCATTATCTGTGGCATATTATCTGCCCCGAACTTCGGCTCAGAATGCTGCATCCGCTTGAGCACGGCTCGCGGCCGACTAAAGCTAACATGGGCAACTAGACATGTAATTTTTTGCACAGTTCAGGCTGAATGCTTCACCCTGGCTGTGTGGAACACTTAAGTGACTAGCTCCCTTAGGATGCTAAATGTTATTGAGAATGATGCTTCCAGCCTCTCTTCTCGGACTCTGTGTGAGTCCCTGGTGATTGTGCACTATATGAGCCCCGGGCACATGCCCTTGGGACTTTGGTGTCGAATCCCAGCATGCACGGCGTTTTGCATTGTGTTCCCCTAGCGTAAGATATTACGCAGTACGAGAGAACCTCTCGTAAGAGAACGTACTCGGTTACTAACGTAACCTCGGTTCTCTCTAGAGAGGGAACGAGTACTGCGTATCTTGCCGTGCATGCAGTACGCTGGTTCGCTTCAGCGATGAAAACCAGAGTAAATCAGCCCATCGAGCCATATTTATAAGGCTAGGCCACGCCCGTTACGGCGGGAGCGTGACGCAATGGGCGCGAAGCGCCCTCATTGGACTGTCACTGAATGGCCTCTCTCGATAGGCTGCTGCAATTGCCACAGGCCAGCCAATAGGCGCGCTAAGCCGCTTTGCCTATGTCTGCTTGCTCTTGCAATGCGTTTTGCATTAATACAAAATTAAGGATAATTTTTTGGCTTCAATATCTCGAGAAAAAGAGGTTTTCCCCTAGCGTAAGATATTACGCAGTACTCGTTCCCTCTCTAGAGAGAACCGAGGTTACGTTAGTAACCGAGTACGTTTTTGCCCCCATTTTTCATGAGCTGAACTGAAAGATCTAAGACTTTTTTCTATGTACACAAAAGGCCTATTTCTCTCAAATATTGTTCACAAATCTGTCTAAATCTGACAGATTCTCCTTTGCTGAGATAATCCATCCACCTCACAGGTGTGGCACATCAAGATGCTGATTAGACAGCATGATTATTGCACAGGTGTGCCTAAGGCTGGCCACAATAAAAGGCCACTCTAAAATGTGCAGTTTTACTGTATTGAAAAAAAAAATGGTTGTTGATTGTGGCCTGTGGAATGTTGGTCCACTCCTCTTCAATGGCTGTGCGAAGTTGCTGGATATTGGCAGGACCTGGAACACGCTGTCGTATACGCCGATCCAGAGCATCCCAAACATGCTCAATGGGTGATATGTCAGGTGAGTATGCTGGCCATGCAAGAACTAAGATGTTTTCAGCTTCCAGGAATTGTGTACAGATCCTTGCAACATGGGGCCGTGCATTATCATGCTGCAACATGAGGTGATGGTCGTGGATGAATGGCACAACAATGGGCCTCAGGATCTCTGTACATTCAAAATGCCATCAATAAAATGCATCTGTGTTCGTTGTCCATAATTTACGCCTGCCCATACCATAACCCCACCGCCACCATGGGCCACTCGATCCACAACGTTGACATCAGCAAACCACTCACCCACACGACGCCGTACACGCTGTCTGCCATCTGCCCTATACAGTGAAAACAGGGATTCATCCGTGAAGAGAACACCTCTCCAAAGTGCCAGATGCCATCGAATGTGAGCATTTGCCCAGTCAAGTAGGTTACGACGACGAACTGCAGTCAGGTCGAGACCCCGATGAGGAGCATGCAGATGAGCTTCCCTGAGATGGTTTCTGACAGTTTGTGCAGAATTTGTTTGGTTATGCAAACCGATTGTTGCAGCAGCTGTCCAGCTGGCTGGTCTCAGACGATCTTAGAGGTGAAGATGCTGGATGTGGAGATGGGCTGGTGTGGTTACACGTGGTCTGCGGTTGTGAGGCCGGTTGGATGAACTGCCAAATTCTCTGAAACGCCTTTGGAGAGACGGCTTATGGTAAAGAAATGAACATTCAATTCACGGGCAACAGCTCTGGTGGACATTCCTGCAGTCAGCATGTCAATTGCACGCTCCCTCAAAACTTGCGACATCTGGGGCATTGTGCTGTGTAATAAAACTGCACATTTTAGAGTGGCCTTTTATTGTGGCCAGCCTAAGGCACACCTGTGCAATAATCATATTGTCTAATCAGCATCTTGATATGCCACACCTGTGAGGTGGATGGATTATCTCGGCAAAGGAGAAGTGCTCACTAACAGATTTAGACAGATTTGTGAACAATATTTGAGAGAAATAGTAGTGCACATAATAATTGTGCACATAGAAAAAGTCTTAGATCTTTGCGTTCAGCTCATGAAAAATGGTGGCAAAAACAAAAGTGTTCATTCACTGGCCACTTTATTAGGTCCATCTGTTCAACTGCTCATTAATGCAAATATCTAATCAGCCAGTCACGTGGTGCATTTAGGCATGTAGACATGGTCAATGTGATCTGCTGAATTTTAAACTGAGCATCAGAATGGGGAAGAAAAGTGATTTAAGTGACTTTGGATGTGGTATGCTTGTTTGTGCCAGACAGGCTGGTCGAATTATTTCAGAAACTGCTAATCTACGGGGATTTCCATGCACAACCATAGGGTTTACAGAAAATTGTCTGAAAAATAGAAAATGTCCAGTCAGTGAGTGGCAGTTCTGTGTATGTAAATGCTTTGTTGATGCCAGAGGTCAGAGGAAAATGGCCAGACTGGTTCGAGCTGATAGAAAGACAACAGTAACTCACAAAACCACTTGTTACAACCGAAGTCTGCAGTCACAACACGTCAAACCTTGAAGCAGATGAGCTACAGCAGCTGAAGACCACACCGGGTGACACTCCTGTCAGTTACGAACAGGAAACAGAGGCTACAGTTTACACAGGCTCACCAAAATTGGACAAAAGAAGATTGGAAAAAGTTGTCTCGATTCCTGCTGCAACATTCAGATGGTAGGGTCAGAATTTGGCCTGAACAACATGAAAGCATGGATCCATCCTGCCTTGTTCGGTTCAGGCTGGTGCTGGTGGTGTAATGATGTGGAAGAGAAGAGAGTGGAGGAGGTTTTCTTCATAAAAGTGTATGAAGTGACTTTTCTAGTGTGGTACATACTTTTTTTGTAGGAGTATGCAAACAAGAGCTGAGGCGTTATCTTCCACAGTGTGCTAAGCTAGCTGTATGCTTTATCTCTGAGCCTGCTGTCACATATTTGAGGTTATTTTCCCTTCAGTCCAGGGGTTGAATTGGAGTCACACATTTATATAATTAAAAAGAATTTGTTCAAGCCTGACAGTGCAATTATGTGGTTACATCTAAGCAATCTTTCACACACATAAAAGCTTCCAGCGGTTATTAACCAAATATTGCTGTACAAACAGCCATTCACTGGGGTGCATTTTAAAAATAAAACGGGAATATAAAGTGTTGTTATAAGGTGGTCTGAGCATAGTGAGACATTTCATCTGGAAAATAAGTATTCAACAGAATAAAGAAGGGGAAAGTGTTTTGGATTGCATCCAGTGAGCCCCAAAGCTTAAGAAAACATTTGGAGACAACTGCTGTCTGATGATTAATTATACTTTCATAGCTTCATAATTAGTCATATTCCACAGATTCAGCTAATTCCTACATCAATTTTGTTAGCTTTTTCCATTATTTGCACTTTTTAAATTGAATTTGTTTCTCTCAAAAGACTACATTTATTTTATTACCCCTATTATACATAATAGTAGCAATATTGCAAAGAGTTATTCAATCTATACCAATATGCATTGTACATTGAAGTGTATCCTCATGAACCAGCTGAGATGTAGCAGATCTTCACCTCCACCAATGCAGTAACATAAATGTTAATATAGTTTTACCATGCTTTTAGACATACACCATGGTAATGCATTGAAAACGAAATGAATGAATGAAATGGACATTTATTTTAGTAAATTGCACAGACATAAAAGTGAAAAAAAAGGTAAAATTTACTTTGTGAAGTAAAGAGAGTGGAAAAATCACACTTAAAACAGTTGAGATAATAATTTGAATGTATGCTGTTTTTTCTTATGTTGTCACATATCACTGCGCAGCAAGTGTGAGAAAACAGTATAGAGACCTCAACACTTGGCATGAGGGCAACCATCAATGGACAGGTTCGTATTTTTGACAAAACATGGCACCAAACATGACAAGAAATATCAGCAACAATGTAAATAAACCTGGCAAACAGTGAAATAATTTAACCTTATTGATTATCCATGCCTTGGTGCATGTTTAGAAACTTTTACTTATTTTATATCTGTGATATTTCCAAGAAACAAAAATCGAAATAAATCTAAATAATGAAATATAATCAAAGCAATAAATGTGTAATATATAATGTAAATATAAATAATACTTTTACGTTATATTATTTCTACAATAACTGAGTGCTAATTTAACATATTTAAATTTTTGTGTATTTATTGTGAAAACATTACTTTTTTTTCTATGTTTACTTAAATGAATTCATTCCGCTAAATATTTTTTTCCCAGTATCATATTTTTTGAAGTATCATGTGAATATCATGGCACATGAATATGATAATGCATTAGTGTAAGGGATCTATAGCAAGATTAAAGATACAAATATGTAAAATAATACGCAGCCACATTTGTCTCGCATGTGAACGCTAACAGTAATGAAAACGTACAGTGCTTTGCTGATAATATGTGGTTTTCTCCTACAGGAATGAAAATGTTTGAAAATGCAACATGGTCTATGATTTAAGAGCACAGGGAGACTGGAGACACACGACACCTGCTCCGCCTCCTCAGATGATGGCTGGCTCTGCTGATGGGTCTTGGACAGAGAGCGTTTGTGGTCACCATTACCATATCACACACACACACACACACTGATGCATATACACTCACATACAGGTCTCTGGCTACAATCCAATCAGCAGAAGAGGTTGTGGGTAGAGGCAATCTTGTGATGTTTTAGGGGAAGTGGGACTATAATCATGGCTCTCCATACATAAAAATTCTATCTGTCTCTCATTCTTTTGTACATGCATACACTCTCCTTCTCAATCCTCTAAAGTGGGCCTGAGATCACAGGAATAAAAATGTGACAGAGATTCAAAAAAGCATTTCCTGGTAATAGTCATTCTTACATGAATAGTGCATGACAAGCAAAGAGCGATGAGAAGAAATAGGGAAAAGAAATGAAATGAATGGTTAGTTCGATTGGGATGGATGTTTTCAGTGCAAAGGTTTATATCCTTGCACTTTCAAGTAGTTGCAGTGAATTTTGGAAGATTTGGGGGGAACGAGGTAGTTGGGAGTGTAGGAGAGATGTGCAACATTTCGTGGTACTCTACTCAAAGAGAAATGAGGTAAAACTAATACTCATAATTATATTTCAGGCGGTCTACTGAAATGGGATGTAAGGATCTACACATCATAGAGCTAATAAAACATGACAGAAAAAAAGTTGGGAGATTCGGAATCATATCAGTGGGTAAGTTGAATTATTTTGTGGAAGATAGAATATGAATAAGAACATAAATTCGAACTCATATGTGCACATTTTCATAAATCAGTCAAGAGAAGTTTTAATATTCAGAATTTTTAAATGTAGTGAAACAATATTTCAGCATTAGTCATACATTATTCTTCTCGTATTTTTTCAACTTTGTTTTTATGATATTAATCATATTTAAAATATTTTTCATGCATTTGAAGGCAAAGATTTCTGGCACACTTTACTTCCATTTTGGTAGGGAAAATTACAAATAATTGCTTTATATATTGACTATTCACCAATATGACTTATATTTTTAGAATTGCATGTTTAAGTTTTACAGGTGATACGATAAGCCTTTCTAAATATGGTCACATACACTTAAAAATGCTGGGTTGTTTTAACCCAAATTTGGGTCAAATATGGACAAACCCAACCGTTGAGTTAAAAATGTAATAAAAAAATTGAACCTGATTGCTAGGTTTGTCCATGTTTGACCCAAATTTGGGTTGAAACAAGCCAGCATTTTTAAGAGTGTAGCATTAAAGGACAGCAGGGTTCATGGGTCATGTGGACAGAGATTAAATCTGTATTTTAAATGTGATTTATGTCATTTTCTTCAATGTTAATATTTTCAACCAGTCAAACAATTTGTAGATGGAGATCATGAACTTTACCGTTCAATATCATCCAGCATTTGATTGATTGACATGTCCGTCATAAACAGGAAGCTGCACCAGGTCATGTGACAGAGCTGGTTCAGGAGTACGAGATTTGCTGTCACCTTGCCTAGTCTCATCTCCCTCCTCCTCTCAGGCAATTCTCCCGATTGCATGTTGATTTATTCATTTATTTATTTTGCCTACCTTTGTTCTAGCGCTCTCTATGAGATTAGATGAGTTCAGTTGGCACTGCTTTCACCATCCGTCTAATCTGTGCGCTGTCATACTGATGGAGTGAGAGGGGGGGGTCAGTCCTCATACAAGGTTAATCAAGCATTTTCACAGAGCTGTTGTTTCTACCCTGTAAACTCTAAGAGAGATAGGCCCATGAAGCTGAGCCGTTGACATCTAAACTGTCACGTTAACGGGATAAGACTCAGCCTAAAGTGGCGGCGCTCCTCTTTATGGAAACAGACATACAAATCAGGGCTGTCCACTCTGTTGCCCGGCAGAAAATACTCAATGTATGTATGCAGTCTGAGAAAGACAATAAATCAGATGACAAATCGGGCTTGACAGTTTGCAAAGTAGCTCTCGGATCAAGGAAAGTTTCTTTTAAGATAGAGGATCGAAAGACTGAAAGATAGAGCAATGGTTTAAGGCAGCGTTTTGTAATGAGAGGTCAAATGACGCGTACCTATTTTCTCAACGCAATATTACTCTGGGGAAAAATGGACGACAGAGGCCAAGATTGAACTAAATTAGACTTTATATGGCCTGACATATTTTGATTTAACAGCCTTTTCGGCACGGCAGGCTTATTTTTTCTTTTTCTTTTTTGACTTCTCTTTATCTTGAATGCCCCGCAATGAAGTTTGTTATTATCTGTAATGCGTTTTTCACTAATACATTGGGATGTTTAATTCGAGCATTGGACAAATTTCAGTGCCCCCCAAGATCTGAAAACAAATTTGTTTCTTAATGGAATCTACCAGCGCATCTAAATAAAGTGTAATTAATGTAATGTTTGTGGCGCTTGACTTAATAGGAAGACACGGGTGGAGAGAGAGCAGCTAGCAGTCTGAGACGGGAGTGATGGCACACAGAGCTACATTTTCCCATTTACTATGGTAGCCATGGGGTGATTTCTAAATGCCATTTCTGTGTACTTGAAAGACACATACGGAAAGAGATCAAATTCAGTGGGTTGTTTCAAATGAAAGTGAGCCGCTGAATTGTTTCATGAAAGGTCTTTAACATAGTGTAATTATACACATGATGAGACTTTTGCTTCAGTCTCGTGATCCTGAGTGGTGCGTCCTTATGATTCATTCCAGTAGCTCAAACAGTAGAGCATGGCGCTAGCAACGGCAGGGTTATAAGTTCAATTCCCAGAGAAGGCATGATAAAAATGTGTGCCTTGAATGCACTGTCACTTTGGATAAACGCATCTGGTAAATGCACAAATGTAACTGTAATGTAAATATGAATAAAGTGGTATTAAAACGCATTGCTTCATGTAGGGTTCTACTAGACCCTGCACGTATGAGAGACCAATGAAATCAAATGAAAGAAATATGAAATGTGTGCATATATATATTTCAGTATTAATTGATTGATTGATGGGGTGACATGTGAACTTGTGTAGTGCAATCAAGCTGCCTGTTTGTTAAGCCAGGGGAAAGTATATCTTTTTTTTTAAGTAACCCATTATTTGGCGGGAACTTTATCATGGCAGATGCTGTCAAGCGTCTCTAACAGTTGTAAGAGTCTGAGTGCTCGCTTCTCTTTTTGTTGATAGCTGCTCTATCATTCTTCCTTTGCTCTCTTCGTCACTCACTTCTTTTTTTGTCATTTTTGTCATCCCATGCTGTGCAGGTGTCCTGTTTTCTGAATATGGGGCTGGAGAGAGCAGAACTGGTCTCTCTGCTGAATGAGTCTGTTAATTAAAAAAATCACTATCAGGATCTCTGCTGGGTTTCCAGCCTCTTTCATTCTCACATTCGATTTCTAGCGTTACTGAGTCTGCTTTCATCTTTCCCGGTGCCATCTCTATCCTCTTTGCTCCTTTGTATTTTGTTATTCTCCTCTCTCCTTTTTTCACTCCCTCCCACCGTGTGTGTATTGCAAGAAAGCAAAAGGGCAACAAAAAGTTAAAGTGAGGAAAAAACAAAAAACTCTTTAATATAAGTCTCTCTCTCTCCGAATCGTATTTCTCTGGGACTGATGATCTGACAGTCTCAATTACATTTCCTCCGTTCTTTTGAGAGAGTGAGTCATGGCAAAATCGGAGAAGCGGCACGTTGTTCCTCGCCTGCTCTTTAACAGGCTCTCAAAGGGCTTCAAGCCGAGGCTATTTTACAAGAACATTTTGCATTTAGCAGTAATGGTCAGATGTACTGAATACATGTGCTTGCGTAGGTCAGCTATTGGACTGAGGATAAAAGAGCACCCTCGTTTTTTTTTTTCCAACAGTGTCGATGTGAATCTTTACCTGAACAAAAAGACGACAGGGACAAAAACAACATTATCTCCTGTGAAAGCGCCAGTCTTAAATGAGCCATTGACCATTTTGTTGTATAACTGTGTTCAGGTGGTCTATCTTGAGGATCCTGAGGTTCAGAAAAGCTCTGTTTGTCAGACGCCTCCCACCCTTCTGCTCGCCCCGGAGCACACGGCCACTTATCGGCCTTTTTTCCCCCCAATGCTCACTCAATCTTTTTCTCGTTTGACTGTTGAGGGGGTCAGTGCAAAATTGAACAAAAATGACCACTCCGTCCGCACTACGGTGAGTACACAACTGTCCGTGTTAGAATGTCACGGCAGAAGAGTTCTTGTAGCGCGATGAGTCACACTCACAAATCCAGTCCTGAGTGCCGCCTCGTTTTACGCGTGTGGCTTGGCCTGTGCGTCGGGCAGAAAATGGACTCGAAAATGCCAAGGAATGGGAAAGGGTCGGGTCATTAAAACAATAAGAGATCTGGGCTGAAGAGTGTCCACTCCACAGCCACTCTGATAGACATACCGTACCTCCAAGCGCAAAATATCACTCCACGTTTCCTGAGGCGTGTGAGGGAAGGTTGAACTAGCCATCATTTAGATGAAAGATCCACTCAGTCACTTTAACCAACGCTTGGTGGTCCTCCTCATCTTCATCATATCAACCAAGGCCGAAGTCCTCATTTACCACGTTGATGTAGATTAGTCCCATCTGAGCGCCTTTTGTGGCGTCGACTGCACATGAGCTTTTAAAATCTTAAGTTACAGAGAGTGAATATTAGCGGCGTCCTTATCTGTCAGATTAATCTGGCAGAATCAGATCTGATGTGTCATAATGGTGTATTTATACCGCAGTGTTTCTTGACCTATTGATGCAAGGATCTTTCTCTTGTTGAATTTTCTTCTGCTCGAAGGTTTTTTTGTGTGTGTGGCTTGTCTCTTTGAGAGTCCAGTTATTGCGCTCAGGCAAAGATCTATCAGTTTAAATCCCGTAAAGAGTGTTTATATTAGACCGGAGTTAATACAACAGTCTACTGAAATTTAGGCCAGTGGTTGTTCAATGATCCTCTGACTAGACGGGGGCCGTTTTGTTTATAAAGTAATTATTCAGCTAATATGACGTTTCCATTAGTTTCTGCATGCGTTTATTTATGCGCCCGCTAACTCTTGCTAGCGGCTAAAGCAATTAAACGCACATCTCTGTAGATAAATACAAGAAGAGTACGTCGAGGCGCTTGCAAACAGAATCCATTAGCGTACAGGGCAATAATTCATGCATTTATCGTGTCTGATTGTTATTTTTTAATCTGCATTTTATTTACATAATTCCAGGCTCGTTTCCACCGCACAGTCACATATGATAAAAAAAATAATTGCCTACGTTTTTGGCTATATACTTCTTAAGATTTCATGTCAAACTGTAAACTGCCTAAGTTCTTCTTTTTTTTCACCAGACGCTATTTTGTGTTTGTTGCATGTTGGGTCTGTCTGACATGCCGCTGTTGGGGTTTGTTCAGATAACCGTATCACTCACTTGTCACAGCGAGAGAGGGGTAGACAGGAAAAAAAGAAAGAGGTAAAAGGGTCTCTGTGAGGGGCAAAATGTGCTTTCTCTCTAAATAAGATATTTATTTATGAGAAAAGCAACAGGAAAACTAGACATTGGCACAATAAAAGCTAACTGAATTCATTCCTATTCATCACAACCAATCTTCAAGACAGAGGTTGTCTCATATTACACTCCCTAGTGCCCTATAATGCCAATCAGTATATTGTGAACACAAATGTGTGCACTAGCAAG